CTTCTAAAAAAAAAAAACTTTGTAGATCTTTATTGGAAGATTTACCTGACAACGTTTACCAAAGCACTCTGGGCTCTTTTCTTTTAATCTAATATTGTTACTTATTCTTTCTTATTTAGTAGTACGTGGTGGCAATTGTTAATTACAGTTTTCATACCACTGTTATATTAGAGATAACATTGTTCATTGTAAGCGTATATTTTTATGTATGGTGTCTGACGTCACACACTCGGCGACGGAAAGAGCAGACTAGCAGCACAGCCTGTGGGAAATGAGAAGGCGACGCGCCGTGATTCTCCCATCTTGCCTGTCGTGCGCGTTTTCAGTGCCGTTGCGTACTTTTATCTTCCCTCGCCTGAACGGCTTCTGTTTCTCCCCGGTTTTCATTCATGACTCTGATATCCCTTCTTTTCAGTCGACATTGCTGGTGCATAAACATTTATAAAATTGAATTTGATCACATTAGTCCCCCAATAGAGTCTCCAGACAGCGGGTCTCAAACTTGTCTGTGTCTAGTCACCTGGGGTGATTGCGGGGCAGATTCCGCCCCATTCCCAGGGGCATGGGTTCAGGTCAGAGGGCAGGCCCTGGGTGTGTTTTGAGACCTGCCCGCCACCGTGGTTTCTGAGCGGAGCTCCTTGTTCATGGCCCCTGAGTTGAAGGATGGAGCTCTGATGTGCACTGTGGACCTCCGGGCCCTCAGCGAACCATCCTGTGGCCTCTTCACCACAGTCACTGTGGGGTCACCAGCGTCCATCCTGGGATGTTCCCTGCCCTTTCCACACCCCGCAGTCCTTTTTCCGGGAGGGCCCCTCCATGGCTCCAGCTGCGTTTCTGTGGGGACCGCCCGCCCTGTGCGCAGGGTTGGCATTGCCATCGTGTGTCCCTTGTATTATCTTGCAGTCTTCCTTTATAGCACCGTGTACACCACATTGTAATAACTGTCCTACACATCACTTTTTAACTGTCAGTTTTGAGTTCCATCACTAGAAAAACCCTCTTAATTGTTTTTGCATCTCTAGTATCGCTCACAAACACAGGTGAATGTGGCGCGAGTGAATTAAATACACGGAGTCTTGGCTTCTTTCCTGTGTGTTTTATATAGTATAAATTTATCTATTATTTGTACACCTAAGCTTCTTTGGCTGTTCTATAAAAATAGTGTTTATTTTCTACCTTCCTTTAAACCTTGTTCATTCCATTCAGAGCAGAGATTTATACAGAGGAGGCAGAATCAGTGACAATTCTGGAAACAGTGTTTGGAAGAGCAGCCCCTGAGCCGCTCCCTGCAGGGAGGGTGCAAGTGTGACTTCAGTGGCAGTGGGGGGTTGAGAAAGGAGCGTCCTGTTGGCACAGGCGGTGCAAAGGCACACATGCCTGGGGCTGTGTGGTTCTGGAAGGCTCTTGGATTTGGCGTGTGCCTGGGGCTATGTGGTTCTGGAAGGCACTCGGATTTGGTTGCAGTGCGAGGGGTAGGGCTGTGGTGTGAGTTTGGAGGCGTAGGGAGCGGTGCATTTTGCAGGGTATTTTGTGCTTTATAAAGGAGTCTTTGCTTTGTAAAGACTTTACCCTGGGGTTATAAAATGCGATGGAACCGTCTTAAACTAGAAAGAAATGCAGATGGGAGGAGAACTGATACAGAAGAGATCAGTTAAGGGGATTTTGTTGCAATTTTATAACAGAAGAATTGATCAGCGATTTAAAATAATTTTTTTAAATGTTTTGTAAAGATTTTATTTATTTATCTTTAGAGGGGAAGGGAAGGAGAGAGGGAGAGAAATATCAATGTATGGTTGCCTCTTGTGTGTCCCCTGCTGGGAACTGGCCTGCAACCCAGGCATGTGCCCTGGCTGGGAATCGAATCGTGGTTGCTTGGTTCCCAGGCCTGCGCTCAATCCACTGAGCTACACCAGCCAGAGCTTAAAATAATTTTATAAAGATTCTTTTATAGTGTTCTTAGTTCACTCTGTCAACGACTCTGATAGGCTTAGGGTTAAACAATGTGAGTAGGACATAGTGTCCGTGCAGTACGAGAATATGTAAATAGCACAAAGTAGCTAATTATGTAAATTAGCACATGAGTTGAGACCTACAAACTCGTGGTGCATAGACAGGTGTAAAGTGCAGTGGGGGCTGGATTCGCTGCAGACTGACTTTCTGTGGGAGAGTGAGAAGAGTGAGGGTCCTGATGCAGGAGGAGGAGGCGGACTGGGGCAAAGAGGACTGTTCTGGGCCAAGGAGTAAGTGAAGGGTGAGCGGGTGGGAGCCACGGTGCCAGAGCCTGTGGCTGAAGCTGGAAAAGCCCTGGGTGTCGAACTGCAGTGGCCGTGAACGTTGGGCTGAAGGATTTTGCATTTCATCCTAGACCTTTACTTTCTAGTTATGAAAGTAATATACATTCTATATATAATGAATATAAAGAAGATGAAAATCTCTTACGATTTCATCACAAGGTGTAGTTAACACAACACCTCATCTTGTCTTTCCCATGGGCTCACGTGCACACTGAAGCACCAGAGAGACGGAAGCACAACCATGTTTGTGTGCGTGTGCATGTGTGTGTGTGTGTGTGCACAGCACGCATGTGATTTTCAGCGCTCTCACCACGGGAGCATGGGCGCTTGGCCCTGTGGTTCGGTGTGCCCAGGAAGCCTGACTTGTAGTGGCTGTGATGTTTATTCTGCTATATGTTTATGCTAAAATTATTTAACCTGTTTTCTATTGTTAGACTATAGAAGTTGTTTTTAATTTAAAATAATAGCTCCTGTTTCACTGAACATCTGTGTACATAAATCCTTGTCTGCATTTCTGACTATTTAGGATAGTGTTCTAGAAATGGATGTACCGGATCAAACAGTCTTAAGGGCCGATGGTATATTTTGGCAAATCACTCTGCCACAGGCTGCTATTTAAAGTCGCACCTATAGTGTGTGGCTTTGCCGGGAGGACAACGAGAGGTCAGACTTCCGGCTGAGTGTTTTCCGTGTGTACTGTCTGCCGATTTTGTAAATGGTATCTTGTGGTTATTTCAACTGTTATTCCTTGACGAGCAGTTTCAGCAGTTTTTTCCTTATATTTATAGACTCTTTATGATTCTTGTACTGTGAATTGTCCTTGATCTTTATAGTATTTTTCCTATTCATTTGAATTAATATTTGTATAGATTATAACTCTTCACAATCCTTTCTTGCACATTTTAGTCCTATTTCGTACTTGCCGTTCACCATTTTTTTAGTAGTGAATTTTTAATTTAACAGTGTTTGAAAGTTCGTTCTCACCTTGAGATCGGGTATATTTACCTATATTTTTATTTCATTTTTCTTTTAAGATTTATTTTATTTCTACTTTAGAGAGAGGAGCAGGGAAGGAGAGAGGGATAGAAGCATCGATGTTCAAGAGATACATTGATTGGTTTCCTCTCACATGCCCGTTGGCCAACTGGAGACCTGGCCTGCAACCCAGGCATGTGCCCTGACTGGGAATTGAACCTGTGACATTTCTGGCACTTAATCCACTGATCCACACCAGCCAGTGTTTGATTTAGTTTTTAATAATTCTGTACTTTCTATTTCTCTTAATAATCCACGATAAAGGTGGTTCTTTGACAGAGAATGACATGATTAGATGTGTGTGTCCGAAAGAAGTCTGGATTTGTGGATGTCGGGTTGGAATGAGGAGACTCAGGGCAGTGAAGTCTGTTGAGCGGAGAGAAGCTAGGGTCTGAATGTGGCGTCAGTGGCAGAGGGGACAGAACGGAAGGGAGTAATGCTCTGAGAGGTACAGCAGCGTTAGCGGGAAGGTAGAGATTCGGACCTACGAAATGTGAGGCACCTCGGACCTCCAGGTACAAGCAGTGCACACACACACAGGTTTGAGCCTCCTTCAGGAGACTGGTCTGGCCGGTGATGGGATTCAGGGAGCCACCTACGATGGGGCGGTAGTTCTAATGTGAGAGGAAGAAGGAGTTTTCAAGGCAGTTGACTGAGAAAGGCGGTCAGAATTAGAAGGCTCACCAGGAAGGTTTCTCTGGGAAGCTGTAACTGGTGGCTTTTTATTATGTTTTTCATTTCCTTTTCTCTGTCTTTCTTTTGCCAAATACAATGTCAGTACTGCGAAGAGTTTGCAGAGGAGATGGACTGAAAAGTTTTTGTTGGATCAGTCTACAGCTTCCCATAAATTTAGCTAAAAGGGGCAGTAGACACGGAGGGAATATGCAGAAGAGGGGACGTGGTCAGAGGGCAACACTGTTGTGTAGCAGAATCTCAGTGGACTGCAGCATGTTGTCTGTTGAGGGGGAGCAATCTACAAACAGGGAGAGACAGAAGGTGAGGTAGAGAAAGGAGGGATTTGCCCTGGCTGGCATCGCTCAGTGGGTTGGGCGTCATCCCACAAAGGGCAAGGTCGCTGGTCCAGTTCCTGGTCAGGAACCCTGCCTTGGTTGCTGGCCGAGTCCCCAGCTGGGGGCATGCAAGAGGCAACTGATTGAAGTTTCTCTTGCATATCAATGTTTCTCTCCCTTTCTTTCTCCCTCCCTTCTCCTCTCTCTAAAAGTAAAAATTAAAAAAAAAAGAAAAGAAAAAGGAGGGATTTGTTGGTGCAGCATCTTAAAAGCATGAGAGGCTGTGATAAATGCATTATTTTCAGGGGGAACAATAGTTCCTTTTCAGAGACTGAGTTTACATATGTTATTGAAATAAATTTTAATCTGTTTTATGAGTAAAAACACTCCTGGCTTCAGTTATAAACTGTTAACTCCTTTCTTAAAAATGAATTGATTTTATAATTATTTCAGCATAAAATTCCGATTGTATAAGTTCCTTTGTTTTACATGCTGCTGATTGTCCAAGTCCGTGAGTTACTTTTAGTGACACGGGTACTTAAATGGACAGCTTAATAAGTGCTTTGATTCCTTTGACTGTGTTTTGTTCATTGACGAATGCATGAAATTGAACACTTCTATACTTAAAGTGATAACCGCCTTTTAAAACCATTTGTTGCAGGGAAATTTGCCTAAATATTCCCACAACTCCCTGATGGTTCAGGCAATAAAGACCAACCTGACAGACCCCGACGTGCACGTGCTGTTCTTCGACGTGGAGGCTCTGATCATCCAGCTCCTGACCGAGGAGGCCTCCAGGCCGAGCGCGGCGCTCATCTCCCCGGAGAACCTGCAGAAAGCATCCGGCAGGGCCGACAAAGGGGGCTCCTTCCTGACTGGGAAGCGAGCCGCCGTCCTCTTCCAGCAAGTGAAAGAAACCATCAGAGAGAACATAAAGGAGCACCTCCTGGATGACGAAGAGGAGGATGAGGAGGCAATGAGGCAGAGAAGGGAGGAGAGTGACCCTGAGTACCGGGCCAGCAAGTCCAAGCCGCTGACCCTGTTGGAATACAACTTGACCATGGACACGGCCAAGCTGTTTATGTCCTGCCTGCACGCCTGGGGCTTGAACGACGTTCTGGACGAAGTCTGTCTTGACCGCCTGGGCATGCTGAGACCCCACTGCCCCGTGTCCTTCGGCCTCTTGTCCAGGGGAGGTCACATGTCGCTGATGCTTCCTGGGTATAATCGGGCCGCGGGCCAACTGTCCCACGGGAAGACAGAAGTGGAGAGGAAGCTCCCGGCGGCAGAGGGGGTGGGGAGGGGCACTTACGGGGTGTCTCGGGCCGTCACCACACAGCACCTCCTGTCTGTCATATCTTTGGCAAACACCCTGATGAGCATGACCAACGCAACTTTCATCGGCGACCATATGAAGAAGGGCCCTGCCAGGTGTGACCACGACGGCTTGATTTTATTCTCATGTTACAGAGAAAGAAACCTCGTTTATTCTTGTCCCTGTTTAGGACTTTTGCTGCAGTTCCACCCGCAGAAAAAATATTTTTGTGTCATCTCAGTGTTTCCCCTTTAAGTCTTAAAGTGCAGTGTGCATGATTTAAAACATCATAAAATTACGTAGTTCTTTTCTATACTCAGACTTACTAGTGGTTTTTTATAAATTTGGAATGAGGAAGTAGGTTATAGTTCAGCTTTAATAAATGAATTACAAACTAGCACTTCAGCACATATAATCTTAGAATTGTATCCACTTAAAGTTTGCACCAGTTAATATGAAACGTATATATTTGGTTAAATGCTTCTCTTCATTGTGACCCACATGTATGAATAATATGTGTTGAGTGATCATGTTCAGAATTTTTGTGAAAAGCATAATTAGAATTTTTCAGTAGGAAAAAAGAAAACAATTTTTTAAGTGCAGGAGAGTACCATTTTAATATTTCTACAATACTTAACCTGCATTACTATTTCCTGTTTTTTCAGAAATCACGAAGGCTACTTTTAAAACTGGGGTTTTGTTGTACTTTAGTGCAAGTTGACTGTGTTAAGATTATTTTCTAATCTAACCAATGCTGAAATAGCACTTGTCTCGTGTCTGGTTCTGTTGTAAGCACTTTCCCGACAGAATCTCATTCATGCCCTTAACCCTTTAAGGAAGGTACTTTATTGTACTTTGTTCCATATAAAAAACTGAGACACAGAAAGGTTACGGAACCTGTCCAAGGTCCCACAGGTACCAGGTGATGCAGCCAGAATTCAAAGTGAGGCTGTTTGCCTCTAATGCCCAAGATTTCTTAATGCTTTATCACATTTTTCAGATTTTAGGGCTGAATTCTTTCAAGCTCAGTGTATTGTTCCATGAATTCATTTTGACCAGTAATATGTGATGGGCTGTACTCTCAGCACGCTAATATCGAACAGTGAGGTACTAATCGTGACATCTGCCTGTCACTGGCTGTATGTTAGTGTTCACAAATATTTCTTAAACTAGTATAAAGTATAAATTGTAGTTGTTAAATTCTTACTTGCTATTCGCTAATTATTTAATTTACTGTATTAAAATTCAACATGGAATATATTAATAGGTAAAAAACAAACAATCACCATCTTTTGGGGGACAGTAAATTCAAAATATTCTGTGTTTCTTTTGTAATTCATTTGCAATTAGTATAATAGTTTAAATGGTCCTGGAAATATGAAATATGAATATAGTATTTTCTTCTCTTCAAAGGCCACCCAGACCAAGCACCCCAGAGCTTTCTAGGGCACGGGGGTCCCCTCCAACTTCCAGAAATATTGTGCAAGGACAAATTAAACAAGGTAAAATTCAATCTTGTTACATAATTGACATGACATCTCAGCTCTAGAAACTGAGGAGGCATGGCTAATGTATAATGATAACATTTTGTTTGTCTCAGATTGTTAAAAGAGAGAAAAGCTGTTATAGTCCAGATGTAAGTATAGATAATTAAGATGTCAGTTAAAAACAAATCAGATTTATTTAGAAATTGATAAATGAGCCTGTTTCATATAATTTTATTGTGCTGTCTTTGGCCTAATTTTTATGCATTAGGAGCACCTTACTTGACACACTGGTGCCTTAACTGTGTGTGTTGGGTTTAAAAGTTATACCCATCATTTAACTACATGTAGAAACCTCGAAATTCCTATTTCCAAACTCCAGCTATTCTTCTGCCATTTGCTGGTAGGTGGTGCATTGTAATCCACAAGTGGAAATCCTTTCTGCTTAACTCATTGTATCTTAACTTTTGTCTATAGCTTTGTTTTTCCATAGGGGATAGAAGAAGAAAGGTTGAGTTTCTCTTTCTTTGTTGTCTTTTGTACTCATTTGAAAGCTGACCCAGGAGCCTACCAGCGAGTTGGGGAAGGGGAGGGTCATTTCCACGTAGAGGGCTTTCCTTCCAGTAGAAAGTTGTGTCTGGCACAGAATGCGGTAGAATGGGTGTTCTTTTTTTCCTTAGGGTTCTTATTTTAGATTTAAAATTACACAGTTTTAAAGCTCTTCAGGTGGTAAAGAGTCAATGAATAGTTCTACAAGATTTGCTAAGTACACAGTTGGCCTTCACCTTTATACCTGCGGGTTCCCTGGCCCTGGGACCGGTGCTTTTCTCTCCCTTAGCTGAGCGGTCGGTGTGTGTTCTCACACCCGGACCCGGCGTGTGGCTTCGCGGGCCTGGGCACTGCCTGCCGGCTTCTCCCTGTGAAGGCGAGCTCTCACAAGCTCTCCACTAGCCCCATCCTTCATCCCAACTCCACCTGGTCCAGCACCTCACTCGTTCATCAGTCTTCTCAGTATGCTTACATATTATTTTATAGTTTATGGGAAGTTACATAAAAGTTAATAGTTCTGGTTACATAACGTTTTATACTTGTATACTATATGTGAAATATAATAGACGTATAGAAAAGTGCACAAGATAGGTCTGTAGCTCAGTGCTCTTTACAAGCTCAACACCTGTATAACTACGTCAAGAAACAGACGTAGTAACTTGGACAAGGAACAGAACAACCGAACGTGGCCAGCACTCCCACCCCAAACCGCCCCCCTTCCAGGGCAGCTGTCTTGACTTTTAGGGAGTTCCTATGTTTCTCTCCTTTGTAGTTGCCCCCCACACACACACCAAGTCTGAATCTCTAAACGCTGTAGTTCAATTTCGCCCATGTTTTGAGCTTTATATGCGTTCAGCCAGTCATGGAGGATGTATCTTTTGTGTTTGCTTCTTTGGTGAGATTTATCAATATTGTTGCATTAGACTGTGGCTTGTTCATTTTCATTGTTCATTTTTATTGCTGTATAGTGTTCTGTGGAATGAACAGACCACAGTTTATTCATCCATTCCTCCTGTCAATAGACATTTGCATTATTTCCAGTGTTTGGTTTTCATAAATAATTCTGCTACGAACATTCTTGTATTCGGATCTTAGTGTACATTATAAGCATGCCTGTTGTGTATGTAACTAAAAGTGGAATTTCTGCACATGTTTATCTTCGGCTTTAGCAGATAATGCTCACATATTTTCCCAAGTGAGAGATGAATACCCATCCATCAAAATGGCTAAAGTGGGAAAGATGGAAATACTGCGTTGGTTTTGTGATTTGTTCAGGGGGTTTGGAGCGCTGCTCTCGGTCCAAGGCCAATTACTTCCCATTAGTGAGGCGAGCCCTGCGTGAGTGCTGTCTCCAGTCCCCCCCAGTCGAGTTTTCCCGTCAGGCTGGTGGGAGCAGGCACCGTTTCTGGCCCTCTCTCCTCTCGGTCCTGTGAGTCCCAGCTGCCCTGGCCTCCTGAGACCCTTCGCTCTGTCTTCTCAACTCAGGGAGACGGCTGGGCTCCCCCTCAACCCCCCCTTCCTGTGTCTTATCCCAGAAACCCCCCGGCCATAAGCTGGGGCAGTGGTGGGGCTCACATGCTCTTGTCTCCCTGGCCATCCATCCATCTTGACGTCCTGTGGCTTAGAACCATTGCTGCATGCATTTTGGTTTGGGTTTTGTTTTTTATGTAGGATTGTGCATCTGTGCTACTCCCTCTTGGCCAGAAGTAGAAGTTCCCCTCTTCACATGTAAAATGTCCTGAATGTACTGTTACCTATTAAGCGAGCATACTTTATGTTGTATAATTTTAACATTTTTAGAGCATTACTTCAAGGAGAAATGGAAAGAGGCCCTCACAGGTACGAGGCATGTTTAAAGTGCAGGACACAGCCAGCACCTGCTAACTGGAGAGTAAAGCCACTGGAAATACCTTTGAGATTACACTGTCCAGATCAGTGGCAGGGCACACTGCCCTGCATTTAGTTAGTTCAGAGCTTCATTTCACATCCGTTCTTGTTAGAGATACTATTTGTTGCCTTCATCATTATCTTCATTGTCATTCCTTATAGTTGGTGTTTCTTCCTGGACTACATCTTTCTCTCTCTGTAGAAATCACAGCCAATACAAGCGACCCGAGGTAATTTGTGACTCGGTCGTGACGCATCTTGTCCTTGACCACCACGATGGAATCGAGTCGGCTCTCCTGGCCAGGCCCGAGGAGGGTAACGCTGGAATGCGGTAGCGTTAGTCCTTGCGGAAGGCTTCGAGTTGGAGAGCAGTGAGGGAGGCACTGGAAATTGAGTTTTTCCTGAAGCCTTGACTTAGGGCGGTGGATTTAGGGATTCCCACCTGGGACAGCACAGACGCTGGTCTCTGCAGTAGGTGAAGGTCGGAGATCCGTGCTCACTGAGCTACATAGTGAAGTACTGGGGGGAGGCAGCATGACTCCCACTTTCCGTTTGAGTATCAGGTGGAAATACGGCACAATGATCTCCTTATAAACTATTGTTAAATAAAACATACAAGTGGGGGATGTTAGAGACATGGGTCTGATTTGCATTCTCCTGAGTAGTTTATCTACATCTAGCAGACAGCAGGTGAACGAACGTAACCAGTTTAGGGTAAGAAGTGGTGAGAGACACAGACGCAAGCTCCGAGTTCTCTGGCCCCAGCTGGGCAGTTAGAGGAAGACAAGTTCTCCTCTGCTCCGGCTTTTCTTGCCTCCGGCTTCTTTTGAACACGTCCCTCTTCCTTACGTTTGCTTTTCCTGACTCCCTCGGTGGGCACCTTGACTCGCAGTCTGTTTCTCAAGCCGGGATGTGCTCCTTTTTGATAAACTGCCACTTACACGTTGGCTGATACTTGTTCTGCTGCAAAACAATCCATACGGAGTAAAGACTTGATCTGGGGAGTGGACCTTCCACGAACATTTGGGTCAGAGAATGAAAAAGATATAGTTTAGCTAACACACTTTCTCATAATCAATATCATTTTATTGATTTTTTATTGGAAAATAATTTCTTCACAAGTTTATTTTGTCTAACCAATAGTTGGTTTATGAATTCAGTGTTTGCCAATAATAATATTTACCAACAGTCATGTACTTTTTTTGGTAGAGACGGTTTTGTTTTTTTTTTAGTAGATACTTGATTCTGTAGTTCATAAAACCTCTCCTTTGGATGAGAGATGTCAGCTACATTTTGTAGCCCTATGTCTGCCCATAGCTTTGGGCCTTTTTTACATTCTGACGTAACGTACTTATCTTGAGCAATTCAGTAACCTCACGGCACGAGTCTTCGGTCTGTGTCTGCTGCTCACCTTCCCTGTGACCACATCTTCGTTGGTGTTGCCTTCTTACTCCGTGGTAGGTCCGGGAGCCGGTCCGAACGATTTAAAGATCGAAGGCTATGCTGTGTTGTTCGCAGTTTTATTTTTCAGAAGTGGATTCAATTTACGGTGCCTAAACTTGGAAGGAAGCAGTAGTCACTGTTGAACTATCTTAGGAGTCATTGACGTAAATGAGGCAGCAGTTTCTCACCATCTTCCACAAGGTCTAGAGCAAAAACCCTGGAGCACACACATCAGGTCAGCGGGGGGACCCGAGAACCCTGTGAAATTTTGTTTGAACTTAGGTGCCTTTTCTTTTTTTTTTTTTTAAAAAAAAATGGCCTATAACTTTAGTCTGCTTTGGAAGCTCAAAAGACAAGGACATTTATTCATCTTTCTTCACTTGTAACAAATGCTTGGTGACCTAGATGTTGCTATATAATGTTACTGTATTGGAACAGTGGCTGGAACCTGGAAGGTGCTCAGCAAACATTTGTCAAATGAGTGAATCTGCGGACACTTCTCTGTGTGCTCCAGAGTCCGTGTGGCCATAACCAGGTGCTTAGGCTGTTAGGGCTGACAAAAGACACTTCCACTGTTGAGTAGCTTCTGGCTCGTGGGGGAGATCCAGGGAGTGCCATTTATGATCCTGTTTGAAGCCATTTATGATCCTGTTTGAACTGGCTACTTGCTTTTTCTACCAGACTCTGAGAACGTGAGGTCAGCAACAAAGTAGAGGTCGGATGCTTGCTTATGTTTTATGGCGTCAGTCTTTGATGTTCTGTTCTATGCATAACTTCTGCTGGATTATTTGTCATTAAATCTTGAGCTTTTTATTTTGGAGGTGGAAGTTTTTCCTTCTTTCTATTGCGGATTTTTCTGTACCTGGAGAATATTTTCAAAGCTCCAGTTTTAAAAGCTCCAGCAGCATTTAATTTCAATATCTCAGTTAATTATGGAAGTAGTTCTAGATTCTGCAGTTTCAGTTATGACAGTCTGAAAAAAGCATTTTTTTGGTGGTGATGTAGAGATTTTTAAAGCAGAGTAAATATGATTTCTTGATTTTTATTATATTTTTCCCTTGACTTTTAGTGCCCACAGAATTTATTAATAGTTTTTTCTGTATGCAACATCATGTAAACAAGACTCCAAAAATATAATACTCAGCATCTGCTTTTTTCTCTCATTAGAACTAAAGTTACTTGTGTTGAGCACTGTTGTGCTGAGACAGTGTTCTAGCTGCTTTGCCAGTAGCATTTCTAGTTTCCTTTAAACTTGTGACTAAGACAGAATGTTATAGTTTAATCCTACTACTTCTGTGACCTGAATAAAGTAATGATCCTTTAGCCCTAAACACTTATTTACTCTTGAATTTCCTCACCCTCTCATCTAGTGTCCCTTCAAAATTAAAGATAAAATTAGATAAAGTTAATAGTCTTTTCTGGGATAATAATTCCTCCCTTTTAAATAAAAGTGAAATCACAGAAATGTCCCAGCTTTTGGAAACCACCAGCGGAACTTTCTCAACAATCTTTGGTGGCATGAAAGCAAAGACCTGAAAGTTTACTCATTGCCACCAACGCTTATTACCAACTTTTTCATGAGGAAGTGACTATTTTACAGGTTGTAATAACTTAATTTATAATTTAAGTTATTTTAAAAGTGGAAAATAAAATTATTCAATGGAATATAGACATAATTTATATTTCTTTGCAAGAGTACTTTATAATGGAATAATTAGATCTTATGAAATACATGATTAAGGGCAGCTCTCTTCCTTTTATAAGTACAATGTTATTAAGTGATTATAATTTTATAAGGGTCAAAAAACAGGTCTGTTATAATAAAAAATAATTTCCCACATGAAACTTTTATGTGTGTAAGAAATGCTTCTTAGAGTTTTTGGAGTTAGAATTGCTATTTTTTTGTTCCTGTTCACGTATTTCTTTTAGTTCTGCTGTTGACTGCACATGTGCCTCACGCACATTATGATGCGTTCGTGTGGAAATTATGAAAAGTTGTTTTCACGCAGCTGCCTGTAGTTCCAAAAGGACTTCACTGCATGAAGAGCAAACATAGCATTCAGCAGACAATGCGTAATCTGTTCAGGAGCCCAAACCTATTGCTGTTCAATGACGGAAGAAAGGGGAGGGATTAATTTGAAGATGCTTGTGCATGACATATGGTAATTTCTCCATAGGAAGGAAGTGTCAAATGGTGACCTCTAAATCTTAACATTGACCTCCAGTTGTAGAACGTGTGTGCCATAAGGTCCTTCTGCCTTTTCATATGATAATTTCAGCTGAAACATTTCCCAAGTCACATAACTTTTTTTTTTGGAGGGTGCATCTATTTTATAAGGATTATAACATTCACAATAATAACTCTTAGAACATAAAGCTTTTGTATCCTAAGAATATTTTTTGAACTCCAAAGAATGAAGCTACATTAGGATTCTTCTAACAAAGGTTAAGTATAGTATATATGTTCTTTATAAGTTGTTTTTTTTTAAGTTGACTTTTTATAAATTGAGTGTGAAAAATTGAAATGATCTCAGTGGATATTGGTTTGAGAGATTAAAAATAATTTACACATGATGTTAGAAAATTATTAGCAAAAATGTAATTGACATGAAGACCAACATGAACTTTTCATTATGTGATACATTTTAAAAATCGAGTTGCATTTTTGCTGATTTTTAATATGTTGACATTTTTTTCATTGTAGCCTCAGTTCTTTTAGAATTTTTTAAAATTAATTGGTACATCATTGGACTGTAACAGTAAATAGATTTTGGTTTTAAGAGGAATTTAAACTATGCTGTGGTTGCCATTCAACAAAGTACATCATTCCCATGCGGTCACCCTTAATGCTCATGCCGTCTGGTTACGACGTCATTCTTCAGTTCCACATTTCCTACGTTTCGCCAGCTCTGGTTTTCATTCTTCACTAATACTGAGCTTTTTTCCAGAAACTGCTGCACCTCAATTCTCTCTTTTTTGTTTCTCCTCTTCTCCTCTGCAAGTTCCTGCATCTGTCGCTTCTGCTCGGTCTGACGCCGACCACTCCGGCTCTGGCCCCACCTCTGCTCCTGCTTTACACACCTGTTTCTTAGTAAATGAAGGTATTCTCTCTTAACTTCCTAACTACTTTCTCTCAGTCTGTACTTTATCCTAATTTGACATGTTCTTTTTACCTAGTCTACACATTTACCTGCTTTGTTATGGACGAGACGGTGAAATTCCATGTACTGATTTTATTTGCTAATGTCAGTGATGAGGGCCAGGTGTGAAAATGCGGAGTCCCTCCTGGTGGAGAAAACCGTGTGTCCTGTGGTCTGGGTCTGGGTGTGGGGCAGGTGTGAGGAGGTGCACTGGTTTCCACGGTGACGTTGGCCATGTCGTCTCTGGCGTTACAGCTGCCAGTTTACTTTCCATGTATTGTCACCCTGTGAGAGATGCACTTTGCTCTCTTTACACACCAGGTGCCCAGGTTGAAGGGAAATATGACAGTGTCGTAATTCACGTCCTTGTGTGCAGAGTCTTCCGAATGTTGCTCAGCACCAGCGACTGTCTAGACTGATAGGAACTCACCTGTTTTATCCTACTTGCTACTTCTCTTTCTGGCCAAAGCAGCAACAGTCATTTTAGTTTTTAAGATGTAGTTCGGCTATCATATTATCTCGGTGGAGTTACACTAGTGGGAAGTATCTTGGACTTCTGATAATGTGAATGGAATCCACAAACCTTTTACCCTGAGGGCCTTCTACGATTGCTTATACTGCCTGGCAGTGTAACGGAACTTACAAGCTCTTGGTTGTATTCACGCTTTTCATCGTGGGCTCAGTCTTCACCAATTTGTATAATATAAAGTGCAGGGAATTTATAAAATCTCACATGTCAGCCAGAATGAATCTGACCCTTCACTAATAAGCAACACTTCTAGTCCGTCCAAATAGAAGGAGAGGTGCAGCATTTGTCAAATATGGAGCCCATGTTCTGAGAAGAGCTTCTTGGGAAAGAGGATATCAGCCCTTGAAAATATAACTCATTTTTTGTTTGGTTTCCCTGTCAGAGACCTGTATTCAGGTTAATATGTCAAGACTACATTAGCAAAAATAGTTAAGGTCATCTTTGTTAAGCTATTAGGAAAGATAGTAATATTTTAATTCAAAAATAAGCCATTAACTTTGGAGAATGGTGAGACTTTAGCCCATCGCAGTGAACTTTAGCCCATTAAAAAAAATTTAGGCCCTGACTGGTGTAGCTCAGTGGATTGAGCACAGTCCCGCAAACCAAGGGGCCCATGGTTTAATTCCCAGTCAGGGCACATGCCTGGGTTGCAGGCCAGTTCTCGGCAGGGGACGCATGAGAGGCAACCATACATTGATGTTTCTCTCTCACTCTCCTTTCCTTCCCCTCTAAAGATAAATAAATAAATAATAATAATAATCTTTTAAAAAATTTAGCTCATAAATCTACTTCATACTTTTATGAGACAGTAAAGCACTTTAAGAAATTACTAGGTAGTAATTTATATTTATATATATGTTTTTATGTATGTATGTGTATTATGTATATATATCCCTGTTTTGAAAATAAGTTATAATCTAAAAAGCACATACTCATCAGCCTAATTAATGTAATTCTGCATTCTCAGTTGAAGAGTGTCCTTTCTGAAAGGATAAATCTAGAGATGGGGGGCTGATTCCCCACTAACTCTCTTTTTTTCACAGTCCCCATAATCATTTTGAGGTGAGGGTTTTTTTGTTGTTGTTGTCTCAGAAAATTACAGTTTACATGATTTTAAAACAATGTTTTGCTGAAATTCTTTGACCCCAGATAACACACCTTGTGATATGATAGTAGACAAGTTCTCCCCCCCCCCCACCATTTCTTCTTATTTGTCTTTAAATGTCTCTCCAGGAGATAATGGTAACTATTATGGACTTACAGTGGCTTTATATGTGACTTTGGAAGCCTGAGGCATTTGTTGTATATGTTCTTTTCAGGCGCCTTTAAGATAGGGTTGATGTGATCATGTGAGAATATCTGGATACTAGTACTTTTAAATATTGTGGTTTACCGTGTTTGTGTTCTCGTGTAATCAGAGTCCATATTATAGATTAGAATTTTGAAAAAAATAACTTTTATTTCCATAGATTAGAGTTAATGCTACTTAGGATTTTGTACATTTTGGATGGCAAGGTTTTTATCTTGTGGAATGTCTGAATTCATGTTCCTCCCAAAATGAGCGCAGTGTTAGCTCTTTCAGCTATGATTGTGATTAAATACCTGATTTCCTTTCTAAGAAAAGGCATCAGTAAGTGCCTTCATGAAAGGCGCTCTGAACGAGAAGGGAAGTCATCTCTGTGGACTGGCCGGGTAGTAGTGCACAGATGGCCAGGCCCTCAGATGGACGTGACCCTGTCTGCGGCTCTCTGTGGGAAATGCCCCTTACACTGGAAGTAGTTTCAAGTCTGAGCTTCCCCACCCTGAATCCATGTTTTATTCCAGAAGGACTATTTAGAAATGTCTTTTCCATATAGAATTTGTATATGCTTCATGCAGAAATGTGTTTTTATTTGCTTTAGGACTTTGAGAGTTCTTATAAATACCACTTACATGATTTAGAGATGAAATACACGATATAAAATTATATACAAAAAATTGGTAATAAATCGAAATAATTTATAACAATTTAGCAGACATTCCTTTTTTTAATGTTTCTGGTATACTTACATAAAGAAAAAAATTTGCATTAGGAAATGCCAGAATGTTTAAAGTATTTTTAATGTGTTACATTTTCAAAGGATGGAGCCAGCTGGCCGCTATGCACTGTGTTATGCTGCCGGACCTGCTGGGGCTGGACAAGTTCAGGCCCCCGCTTCTGGAGATGCTTGCTCGGAGATGGCAGGACCGGTGCTTGGAGGTAATGTTGGGGGGATATGGAGAGAAAACAAAAGCGCCGAAAAGGCACCGGACGAGTGTAAATGTGAAACCAAAATGGCTAATGTTTAATTTCTTATCATCTGTTTATTTAGTGGTAGAAAATATGGATTCATGGTTTTTTCAGTTTATGTACTAAATAGTAGTGTTTCTGCTTGCTTGCTTGCTTGCTTGATTTTCTTATTTATTAAGTAGTCAGTATTTGGTCAAGTCTCACATACTTTACAGAGCTGTGTGTTGCTATCGTACACGTGTTCACACACATGCATATGTCCACCTTCCCGAGAATCGCACCCTCAGGTATAATCTCACCAATCAAATTCTCAGTGAGTAGCCCTGGTCCAGTGGAAGGTGCTGTGTTACAATAAAAGGAGAAGATCTTTGGAATAGAAGAGACCTGGATTTAAATATCAGTTCTGCCAATTATTAACTTTGTGACCCTGGGCCATTTCCCTAACCTATTTGAAGCTCATTTGTAAAGTGGGGATAGTAATATATTCCTCCGGGATTGCCATCAGGGTCAAAGAAGGTGGAACAATTAAAGCTGTTAGTGCAGAGTCTGACGCTCTGGGGGAACTCAGCAAATGATAGCTGTTATTCTGTGTTAGACACTGCTTAGAATATAGTATCACCAGGGGCTTGGGAATGTTTTACAGAGATTTCCCTTATTGTGGTGTTTGACCTATATAGCCGTAGCAGTTTATATCACTCACAGTTTTGAATTTGCCAAATACAATGAACATATTTGCTACTTTCCTTGTCTTCATTTCCTCAACTCCCAGTGAAATTGCAGCATAATTGGTTTTACACTGAATCATGTTTGAATTTACTTCATAAGTCAGTTATAATTAAAAACAATTTTTGTTCAAACTCTTACCAGATACTGTTGAGTTATCTTTTCAGTTATAAATAGTATTTGATTGGTACATCACTGGACAGGTGAGTAAGCTTCTTTAACCCCATGCCTGTGGCACTTTTACCAAAACAAAAAAGAGCTAAACTAAAACTGCAAAATAAAAGTTGTTTGAAAGAAAGAAAGAAAGAAAGAAAGAAAGAAAGAAAGAAAGAAAGAAAGAAAGAAAAGGAAGAAAAATCAGAAAATATAATTTTTGAAAACTTGTGACCTTCAATAGAACCGATGCCATTACATAGGAATATATTTGCCTATTTGTTGAAAACAAATTGTTTATGCATGCCTTAGATATATATGAATGTGTGGATTTATACATGTATGTTTGTATGAACAGTACCTATTTAGTGTATATATTATGAAGATTCACTAGGTAAGGTTAAATTTCTTCGAGCTAAAAGAGAACAAATTTAATAGTTCTAACAATGTCTTTTAACTTTTACATAGAAATTTTAAACTTGAAATTGCAAAATTAAAGTACTAGAATGTTTTAAAAGCTTTGGAAAATAAAGTTTTAAGCCTAAAGCATTTTATATTCAAACATAATTCAGCTTATTAGTGTTAAATTTTTTTTTCAGTGAGATCAGTAATTAAAATATCTTTGATTTTTGCGGGCATCCAGTTTTGTCCACATTAACTCTTAACTCACTGTTCGATTGGCAGTTTTGGTCACGTAAATAAATGTGGTTTATTTCTCTTCTTTCTGAGCGTTCTGGCTATTAAACAGCTCGCTGGCTGATCTGCCCTTTTCACACTGGGGTCTGTGGTCTTTGCAGGTCAGAGAGGCTGCGCAGGCCCTGCTTCTGGCCGAGCTGCGGAGAATCGAGCAGGCGGGCCGGAAGGAAGCCATTGATGCCTGGGCCCCGTACTTACCCCAGTACATGGACCACGTTGTGTCGCGTAAGAGCTCTCCCAGTTTTCCACAGAGCTTTCCATGCTCATTAGAAAAGAGCCGAAACTCACAAATGCTTGCTGCCACCTGTCAGCAACCCTGAGTCATTTACATTCAGTGAAAACAAGGACCCACAAATTCTGTGCGTCCATCTTCTGAAACCCCTTTGGTTTGGAATTTGCTTAGGAAAAATAAATAAATAAAGGCAAAAGTTATATAAATACCAAGATAGTCACTGATGGGTCGACCCTTATAAAATTAATCCCCACACCAAACCCCACCCAGTATAACATCTATCCCCGCCATTGCCTTGCTGTGCTCACGGTGCCTACTTGTTAGACTCATCTGGTGAAATGCAGTTGCAGGTAAAAGGCACATGCTTTCCAAGTTGCAGCTGGAATTGTGGATCCTTCAGAAATAAAGATCTGGTAGAGTTGGACCAGCATACTGTCGAAAAAGAGAAAGTTAGTGAGGGTTTGAGTAATGCAGTTTTTCAGATAAGTACGATTTGAAGGGATGGGGAAAGGGCTTGGGAAAAATTGTTGAAATTTTTGATTTTTGCAAAACAAAAACCTTTGTGATCATGCTCCTTGTTCAGATGTCCATTGAAGAAAAGTTATATTTGTGCTATGATAAATTTTTCTTTTTGGAAAAAGTATGCTTCATCCCAATTCAACATTTGATTCATTCTTTATTTTCCTAAAGAAGAATCCAGAGTTAACATTTTAATCTGTTAGGAGTATAACAGAAAATAAATATTTTACTTTTTCTTTAAGATGAAGTCTCAATGAAACTGTACAAAAACTTTTTGCTATGGAAATTTGCCCTGGGTTTTGGGTAGATTAGTTTTAAATGACCTTTGCCAATACCAATTATTCTTGTCAATGAAACACTCATTACACATGTCCAGAGAGGCAACGCAGGACTGGACAAGAAGGGAATGAAAGCCAGAATCAGACAGGATTGCAATCGTTGTGACTAGCATAACTGCCAGGCGCTTGCTGGTGCTGACTATAGTGGCTGTCTGACGAGACACGTGACCATGGGCACTTAGCCTTTCTTGGCTGCAGTTTTGTCACAGATGAAATGGAGAGAGTGAGACTTTGTAGGTTCTGCCAAGGATGGAGTGAGTTACAGGAAGCACATGGAGCCAGGCGTGGGCCATGTTAAACACCAGATATTTGTTCAATAATCATAATTTTTAAATGCAAATATACATTGCACATATAACCAAAATGTCACAAATTAACAACTCCAGCTAAGATTCTTTAATCTGTCTGGATAAGACTATTTACTGAGAGAATATCATTTATTTGCTTACTGGGAGTTTTCCCATTTTAATAAAAGGAAATAAGGTTAAAAATCCAGGGTTTTTAGGTATAGACTCTACCTACGTAAGTTATCAGGCTTAAAGTTCTTATGTAAATATTAGTAGATTTAAAATTTTGTCAGATATTTAAAAATGTTCAAAAAATAACATGGGCTAAAAAACATTCTGCTTTTGCACATTCGTGTAGTCTGGTACGGTGTTCTATGTTCAGGGACTTGTGGCATTAACTGTGTGATCTTCCAGAAAATAGAATTATCTCATCAGCTAATCATAAACCTTACTGAATAAAGATCCCCCAACTTCAGGACAAACTGTAGAGTAGATTGAACATGAAACTATATAGAAAATCACCAGAGATTCTCACACAATGAGAACACAGTTATGGAAATACTGAGACCCATTTTAAAGACAACTTTATTTAGAATGGACTCATGTAGAGCAGGAGAATGGATTAAAGTGGAGTGAGTAGCTGGAAGGCTATAATGGAAGGAAACAGATATATATATATACATATATATATGTATATTATATATATATATGTATATATATATATATATACATATATATATATATATATTTTAAACGAGAGTGAGTTAGATGCAATGTGAAGGCGTGGTATGATGATCACAGATTGCTCCCTGAAGCAGTGATAGACATTACGTGTCATCAGGTGAGATGCCTGTTAGCAGGTCCAGAGAGGACCCAGGCGAGTGAGGTAGTGACAATACCTACCATGAACTGAACACTTTCTCTGCCAGGCTCTTGCTAAGTGCCTGGTCTGTGTCACGTCATCAAACTGTGGCAGTAAACCTCTTAGGGACGCACTGTTGTCACTACCACTGGCACTTCTTCAGCCCAAATGAGTTAATTGAGGCCAAGAGAGAGTAAAGCATTTCCTGAAGGTCCCTCCATCATTGAGTGACTGGCAGAATGCAAAACTCATCATCTTACCACTGTGTATTCCATCTTGCTTCCTCCAACACCCTTAGATTTTAAGTGGAGTTGGGGGTAGAGGAATGAGAAGATATTTGGCTTAAGTAATCCTGCTTTCAATTTCATTTTCAGCCATATTAAATTTAACAACAACAAAATGGAGCAGAAAAATAACTAAAAAATTACCCTTAATGGTTCTCATCATTGTTTAAATAAGCATAAACTAGGTAGTTCCGGTTCAAATCTAAACTTTTCCATTAATGTAAATCAAAGTCCTTGGCACAGTATCCTGGAATATTTTATAAATTAACTGAATGCTGACTCATGAAAAATTTTAATGTTATCATTTACTGTAATTGTATTTTTTAGCAAAAGAATAAATACATTCTATATGAAACTAAAACATCTCACACTAACAGCTCTTGCTCTTGCCATGATATATTAATCTATTCTGGAACTTTTACAGTGACTGAGTGCAAAATTAGTTCTAATTAGCTTTGGTGGGAGTTTTCTATTTTAATAAAAGGATGTCAGGCTAAGGGAGTAAGTAGGGCCTCTGAGAGTGTGAGAGGAGAAGAGAAACGCAGCAGACAAGAAATGACCACGCAGGGCTGATGAACAGATTTGCCGGCCGAAGGGATCGGGAGGTCACGGAGCCAGCTGGCGGGCGGCCCACACCTGCCGTCAGCCTGCTTGTAGTGACGTCACTTCTGCCTTTGGCACTGACGTCGGAGAAGATGATGATGATTGTGAGTTGCAGCAGGAAGCCATCTTCTAGAAACTTAACACTTACTTCTAGTGTAGGGATTTTCTTAATCACTAAAGTAAGTAAAATATTAAGCACTATATCACCAATATTAAGCTGGTAAATATACCAACTCATCAGATATTTTCTTATAATTCAATCATCCTAAGCCGTTAAAAATATTCAGTAATTGCCTAAGCAGTATTGGCAGCTCCTCACATATAGCTGAGCTTGATCTAAGAGTCCCTTTGTTAGTTATCTGAAACTCAGAAAATGCATTTGCCCAAAGAGCAGAATGTCCTATTGGGCTGATGGACTGCCATAGCCCTTCTCCTTAGAGATGAGGAGCCTGAGGCTTAGAGTGGGCAGCAGCTTTTTCTGACTTCACGGTCAGTAAGTGACTAAGCCTAAGACAAGGTGGCTGGTCATGGTGACTGGGGGTCTTCTGGAATCTCAGGTACATTATGTGATGAAAGCCCTTTGTGGGTTTGTCTGAGAACATGAGGAAGCAATCGAGGGACATGCTTTGCACATGTATGCACCCAGGACAGTGCATAGCACATGTAGTGAAGGATGGCTGGCTGTTCCCTTTCCCTCCTGTACCGGAGTCTTCAGCTTCGTTCTCCTTATTCTCATTGCCCCAGAATTAACCCGAATTTATTTCACCCAGGGATTCTGGAAGTAGACGCAGAGTCACTGGGGAAGAAAGGGGCAAGAGTGTGTCTTAACTGGACGGCCAGTTCACGAATTTTCACAAAAACCAATTCCTAATTGAGTGCTATGAAGAATTTTGTTCTGGGGAGTGGAGCCCTGTCCTTGAACCTGTTGGGAAAATTCTGTCCCTTACAAATGCCATCAGTATGGATGCATTCAGTGCCTAGTTTCTGATGGAAAAGTGGAGGATGTGCATTTGTGACTCTGCCTCTAACGGTAACAGGACTGGATGATAAACAACAGTACACGCATTCTTGTGAAGTGACGTATAAATGTTGCGAACATTTTCCGAGTTATCACTGTTCTGCGTGTATTTGTGATCACTTCTGTGTTATAAAACACTTAGAATTTTTATGAATTATTCTTAGTAAGGAAGGATTAGTGCTGTTTGTACTATTATAATTCAGAGGAACATAAAACATTTTATGCTTCTCAGATTTATTTTGAAATGAAGATATTTTGCGCAATCCCATTTATGTATTTCTTATCTGTGACACCGTACAAGCAGCATTTTGGTCATCGACTTCTTCATGAGGTCAAGCACCTGCTAGTTTATGAAATGGGCCCCACTTGCCCTTCCTTCCCAGCAGTGACTGCTCTGGGGTAACTACTGATGGGTCCTGATTTCCATTGGCCTGTGATGCAGAGTGACCTTCTAGAGCATGAGGTCACAGCGCAATTATTTCTTGTACGTTGTCTTCTGCTTGCTCACAGTGGCTCATCTCCTCCTTTAATTTCAGAAACATTAAACACACACAAGTGACTACTGTTATATAAATCAAAATCTTTTCTAAAGAGGGTGCTGTTATAATATTGTTATGGCTGATGTAGTGTTAATTTGCAAACTTATCATCTCAGATATTGATATAAGGATGTGTAACACATTGTGTTTATACGTATTGATGTTATCAGAAAGAACAATTCTTTGTTCCCATCAAGTCCCTGCCTTTTTAGCTCCCTTTTGTGTTAAGGTTACCAGGGTGAGGCCCGTCCTTTTACCCCCCCTTGGAAACAGAATAGGATTTCTTTGTTCAATGAAAGACATTCCTAGTCAATGTTTTGGGTTTGACTGTCCACAAGCCCCACTGTAGTACCTGGAATTGAAGTCACTTTTCTGATGGTTATAAAGCAGTGTTCATCCTGAGCACAAATGTGGATAGACCAGTATGCAAGAAGGTAAGATGGAACTATATATCATAGTAGAAGAGTATATTGTAGCTAGTAAAAATGATGTAAATATTAGTGCGTTTTTGACAGGCATGTATTTTCAGGGCTTGCTGGTAGTG